CACGAGGAGAGAAACGAAGAGGTCAATATGATTGTACATTGTCGGCATCAAACAGCTCAGTGGGACAAAACAGCATTGATTATTTAATAAGCATTAATGTCGTTTCTGGCCTTAAAATTTCTACGTCCTTTTTTTTATAAATACATACATACACACACATATATATATTATTTGAAATGCTTTTTCATTGTGGGCATTTTTCTTAGGCTTTTTCTCTCAAGTATTCTCTTGATTTTAGTTTCTAATCAAGAAAACTCGTTTGCCATTTTCTCTTAATTCTTTCCGTTCATTTGTTCAACGGCGTCGTTCCTTCGTTCAAAACTCCATTGTCTGTGGAAAGAGATTGTCTCTTTCCACACACAAATGTATTTTGAGCACCATTATTCAAGTGTTTTGGAAGAAAGCGTTCATGCTTTTGTTATTATTGTTACTGTTAGTTATCATTCTTAAAAATTTCTGTTGGTCTGTTCTTCTTTGGTCTTACACACACACACACACACTCTCCCTCTCGTACCCCCCTCTCTCTCTCTCTCTCTCTCTCTCTCTGTTTTACACGCACTTTCTTAATCCAAGAGGTCCTTTTCACCAGCAATCACATTTTATCCGCTAATCTAAAGGGGAAAAAATATTCCAATATTTCATATTTCTTTCAATTTAGCCTCTGCTGTTTAATCATTCTTGGAAAATCGATATCGAATGAAACGATGAAAGGATTATTATTATTGCTGTTACTACGTCCCTATCGTCTTATTATAATTAGCATATTATCTTATTATTATTATTATTATTATTATTTTCTCGACTTCCCCATTATTACTTTTATGATTTTGCCTGTCTTCTTCTCAGTATTATTATTATTATTATTATTATTATTATTATTATTATTATTATTATTTTTTATTTCCTTTGATTTCTGGCGTTTAAATATTTCTTTCCGGGTCCGGCCCAAGGACCTAATGTTAGAAATGGCATCATGACACTTTCCACTGACAAAAAAAAAAAAAAAAATACATAGATAAAGCCCTTCGTAAAGTGTGGGCTGTACTTGTCAGAACAATTCTTTGTATCTCTTTGAGGCATGGACTTCCAGGAATCCCTTCAATTAGTCTACTGGAGTCTTTTCCAACCAGTCCTAGGGCTACAACTACAACACAGATTGTTAATGTTCCCATGTGCCACAATTTTGAGATTTCTATTTCAAGGCCCTTGTATTTTGACAGCTTTTTGAATATCTTCAAAGATACATTGCAGTCTGCAGGGACTGCCATATCAATAAGGAGGCACTTTTTTTGTTTGTGGTCTTTAATAACAATGGCTGGGAGGTTGGCATTGATTGTTCTGTCAATGTGTATTGTGTAGTCCCATAGAATTGTAACAGGTTCTATCTCCGTAACCGGGTCCGGGTGGTGTTCATACCATTTTCTTTCAGTTTCCTTCCTGTAGAAGTTGCAGATTTTCCTGTGCAGATATTGGCCCACTCTATCATGCCGGGTTTTATACTCAGTGGGTGCCAATATCATGCAACCTGATACAAGATTATCAATTGTTTCTGGATATTTATCACAGAATCTGCATTTTTGGCTAACACAATATTTTAGTATATGTGCTTGATAATTCTTCGTTAACAAGCAAGGATAAAACCTTCAGTTTCAGCTTTCAACCCTGGACTGCGTAGCCACTGATGGGTACGGGTTTTGTCTACGTCAGCTTGTTTGGTACGGGCAGAGTATTGGCCATGAAGCGTTTTATCTTGCCTTTGTTTCTGTATTTGGTCGGTTACTTGTATTTCTGCGCCCACGCCTGTAGTACTCTTTCCTTATTTTTTTCCTTTATTTGGGGGTGTTGTATACCATCTCCTTCGCTAATTCCTAGGTACTTATAAGCTTCACCATGCTCCAGTTCCCTAATCTTTGTGACAAAATCTAAATCTATTAAGGGTGTTTCTGTAATTCTATCTTTCTTGAATGTTCCTTTTGAATATTATTATTATTATTATTATTATTTTCTCGACTTCCCGTTATTACTTTTATTATTTTGCTTGTCTTCTCAGTATTATTATTATTATTATTATTATTATTATTATTATTATTATTATTATTATTATTATTATTATTACCTCGTCTTAGCACTATCATTATTATTATCACTTGTTTATTATTAGTATTGAGGTTCATCTTGATGATATTATTATTGAAAATTCTTTATCGTCTCTTATCTGCTATTTGTTAAGTAAGATTAACTGACAGTTAGTGTCGACAATCGTTCAAAATTCTCTTCAGAATCTGAATTAATCTTAGTAATTTTGTTATTTGTTGAAGTTTTCCAATATTTCCAAATTCTTTGAAAGGATCTTTGGCAATCAGAGACGATAATTTGATAGACTTTATTTTTGTTTACTTCAACGAAATTTTGCCTGGATTCATTGACCAGTTCGAATTTCATGCTTTAGATTGTTTTTTTTTTTTATATATATATATTCACGCAAATTTCAAATTCTGATAGAATCTGTTTCCTTCACATTGCATCAATATCTTTGAGATCTATATTCCCTTCGGGAGTCTTCTTTCTTTTTACAATCAATGCAAGACACAAGAGCCACTCAAGGCAGATGATTATATAGGATAGATAATTGTAGACCCACAAGATAAAGAGTTAATGATTGTAGTATTCGTGAAGAATCCACTGGGTAGTCCGTTTCATAATGCAGTATTTCTGGGGAAGAAGCTATCTGCGTGGAACTTCCTCCCAACCAATGGAATATGAAGGGAATGAGGATGTACATGATATTGCGGCTTCTAGCTGTGAAGGTTTGAATTGGTGAAACCAAAGAATAGAGTTTGCCCGAGCCTCTATCATGGAAGTAGTGGTAGAACTTCGAAAGCCTGGCAAAATTTCGCCAGTAGGAAAGATAGTATGACCAGACTAGGCAAAGGAAAACGTCTATTCACAAACTTTCCTTCGATATTGAAAGTGATTGTCGCCATTTTTGTAATGTTCCGCTGCATGTATGTCAAAGGTACGCTGAATGTAATTGGTGAACAGTGTTCAAACTTCTGCGACAATTTGCTTTAACGCGGCACTAAATACACTTGGAATAGCATGAATCCATATTTCCTTAAAGAGAGTAGTGATCAGGAACTCAGTAAGATAATTCTATAACTTGGCAGCATTATGAGCGATTAAGATTACAGAATAGAAATAACAGATGAGATAATTTCAAGAATATTACAAAGAATGATAGCTGTCGAACAACTAAGAACGAGAATTACAAAAACATCTGAGTGATATTAAAAATCACACCATTGTCTTCTTAATCTTTGCGTATTCCTATGGATCTTCAATATTAATAGCAGAATTACAACAAAACATCTGAATATTAAAAGTGAGATGCTACAGGTCCATCCTACGCATTTCCTATGTAGACAGCATCACAAATGACACAGTGAGAAAACACCATCAAACAAGAAACAAGTTTAATAAAAAAAACTTATAGCAACCTTCAAGAAGAGAAAGTGGGCAAAAAAAGGTAAAAATGATTCTTGCGCCATCCTACAAGTTAACATCTAAGACAAGAAAGGAGGCAGAAGAAAAATGGTTTATAAGATCATTCATAGAATCTCAGTCACTAGCAGGCAACGGAGACATATAGCGAAAGGTGACCAGGGATTCAGTTGCGTAGCAACGATACGCTCACACCGGGACTTAAATCTGATGATGATGAGGATGGTGGCAGAAATTTGAACACTTTTAAAATTCATGCAGCGGTACATTACAAAAATGGCGAAAATCACTTTTAATGTCAAACGGAAGTTTGTGAATAGAAATTCTCCTTTGCCTAATCTGGTCATATTTCGACAGTCCAATTTTGACATATTTAGTACCAGACGCATATTATCATCCAGTCTTCTGTAGTTTCCAATTATCTTTGGAGGCCAATTGTTGTAGTTTTGTAAGTCAGTTCTAGTTGAACTAATCCTCTGCCTCCTTCGAATCTGGGTACATACAGACGATCAACATCATAGGCTTCATCCTGTTCCAGTTCCCTAAATTATTATTATTATTATTATTATTATAACCTGGTCTCAAAAAAACAAAAAAAACAAAAAAACTATTGTTCCAAACAATATTAGAGTCACCAGGGATCATTAGAGATATAGAAATAAAATGTGATCGGAGTCTCATGTTTGATATGATTGAATCGTTTTTTTTGTTTTTTTTAAGCATTGCCCGAGCAAGGCGTGGAACCACTAGGATGCAGGGAGTTGCAGAAGATTTGGAGCGAGAGCAGATAGGAGAGATAGAAGAAAGGATGAGGAGAAGGATAGTGGATAGATCAAGGTAACTGGAGATGTCAATTGACATTACATTTGAATAGTTCGAGATTATAGCTCTCAGGGAAACAGTAATAGGGAAGGGTGTTCCACAGGCGAGAGGTGCGAGGTATGAAGCTATTGGAGTAGAAAAGACGGCTACATTTAAAAGTTTCTACAGTGTAAGGGTGGGAGCGGTATGCCAGCCTTGTAGGGCGCTTGAATTCATGGAGTCTGGGAACCAGTGAAAGCAGCTCATCGGAGCAATTACCATGGAAGTATTTAAAAAAAACAGAGAGAGGCGACGGCGCGTCTGTGGGAGAGTGACTGTAGACGAGACGCCAGATCAGGCCAATTATATTACATATCCGTCTCTGGATCTTGTCAAGAACTCCGAGGTAAACAGAAGGTGTACCAGACCATATATGGCAGCAATACTCCATGCAAGGGATGGCTTATCAATCCCTTACTTGTTATTAAAAGATATAAAATATTCTTAAATTGAGAGTATGTTTTGGGGGAGATAATAAGTGTATAATTTACACATAGGATAGAGAAGAGGTGGGTTCATACCTTGCCTAAGGGTATTTGCGCGTAAGGGAATACAAAAAAACTCAACGGAAATTGGAACTCGTCTCTGTGATTAATAATCCCGAATCGTTATCCATTAAACCAAACGCATACTCAAGCTCACAGCGCCTGTTATTCTCAAGCGGTCACTAATCCTGGTACTGATCAGGCTCAACGTTGCTTAACTTCGATGATCGTACGCAAACGGTGTTTCAACGTGATGTGACCGTAAGCCGGTCAAGGTTTCTGGAAGCTACATTCCTTTCTTTTACTTTAACTTCTATTGCATGTATATATTATACTCTTACATAGTTAAAGGCAAATTCGGTATGGGACATCGTTATCACATACTGTACTAAACACACACACACACACACACATGAAAGCGTGAGAGCTCAATGTAAATCCAGAGCTAATATTTTAAAGAAATACTCCTCCTCCCCCAATACTAAGAATGATTGAGAGAGATATTAAATTAAACCCGCTCTAAAATCCACCATGCCTCTCTAACTACTCCTATTACACTCTCTGTTAAATTACAAAAAATTAACACTACCCATCAATTTTCATTTCATATTTCGTTTCATTTTTGGAAGTGCTATCTGATGATCCGAAGTCCTTTAAAAGGGATCTATTGAAATAAATTATTATAATGAAACACCAAAAGTGGTCTGTTTTTTTTTCTTTAATATATATATATATATATATATATATATATATATATATATATATATATATATAGAGAGAGAGAGAGAGATAAATAGATAGATAGATAGATTATTCCAGGATCATTTCCAACTTATCTAAAATGATCTTCGCCTTCTCTAACCCTCTAACGTTATGTCCTGGAGTAACAAGTTGCCTTACACCTTACACTTACGATTTAATTTTCAAGTCTTTTTTCATTGCTCTTTGGACTGTTATAGCCGAAACTCTTCTCTCGCGTGCTAAACGTTTTATGAATTGAGTTGGATCTTTTCTCACTGATCTCTTTACCACTAAATTGAAATGATGATCATTCTTCCACTTTTGATCTCCTGATTCAGTGTTCCCTTTTTTAAACCTACACCGTTCTCATGATCGTTCCTGAATGGACTTTAAACATGTATGAATCATGGTTCCATTACTGAAGGTCAGAATGATATTTTTTTTTGCTCTCACCATTGCTCATTTCGGTAGAAAGTGGGTTTGGCACAAAAAAGATTTTAAACTATTCTCTTTTTAACTGAATAAGTCAAAGGGTTTTTCGGCTATTCTTACAACAAATAAAGTGAAGATAGCTAAACGTCTTATCTGGAAATCTGAGAAAAAGAAACTCAGTTTAGTACTTTTTTTTAATATTAAACATTTTGTGGGATGGTCAATTATGTTGTTACATGATTTGGAAAATTTTGCTGTTACACTCGGTTCGTCTCTCTCTCGCTCACTCTCCTCCTTCTCTCTCTCTCTATATATAAATATATATACGTGTGTGTATGTGTGTGTATCCCGATAGTTGGCAAGTGGCGAAATGGTTTTAGAACGTTAGTGTCTGAGCATGAAACCCGAGTTCGAATCTCAACGTGACCGATTTGTCAAGTATGGTGATAATATTGGTTTGGGCAGACAATACGGAAACGTTGGTAAGTACCCGGAATTAAACTGAGTTCTGTCATTAGTCATGCCAAGCACGAGCCACTATCATCGTACTCGGTGGTTTAAGCCTATTAGAATTCTCCAGCCATTTGATCACGCCAGATTATGCATTCTCTTCAAGAAATTTTAACGAAGAACGGCACATTTGCAATATAAGCCATAGATTATATAGGCGATCATGAATGTGACTTAGTAGGTGTCTGCAATAGAGATTAGTTAACCAACCGTGTAAACTTAATAATCTACTAAGACTGACGGATGCCTTCTCTATTTTTGCATAACATCTAGATCTAATACAAAGCCAGATATCGGCATGATGTCAAATTAAAGCTGTTATATTATGCCTCATTGGCTACAAGAAAATATTACTTATATTAGACTACTCACTTTTGTGAATTTACGTTTCGAGCTCTATATGACGTCGTCCCTTGGTCGCAGCGCCAACTGTGACGTTCTATCCTGATCTACCACGGCACCAGTTGTGACGTCCCCAAACAGCACCAATTGTGACGTCCTCGCCGCGGCGCCAGCTGTTCGCTCCTCGCTGCTCTGTTCGGGTGTCGCTGCTCCAAACGTGACGTCCGCCTGTCACGTCAGTCGTGTTGTCTCGTCCTGTGACGACCAACTGGCTTGGTATCGGTCGCGGCACCTAAATGTGACGTTCTAACCTTTTGGTGATTCGGGTGGGAATCTGGTTAGATTTGATATCAGCCTCGTCGTTCCCAACTCGCTTCCAACGCCTGGTTACCAAGGTAACTGCATTGATCTCCACTCTGCCTACCCACGTTGTGAATTGATCTTAGGCAGACGAGATCAATCAGTAGTCGGGGCCGTAATGCAAACTGAGTTCAACGGGGTGATACCACACAAATAAGCATAAAAGAAAAGAAATGAAAACTCAAAAGTTCAAAGTATCAAAAAAAAAAGGTAACAAACTTTATGTCTAGTTGTTCGATACATAGGACTGCATCTATCTCCCGACCCGTTCTGTGGATTGTGACACGTCGTTTTCCGTTAGGCAAGTTTTAACGCTTCAAGTTGTTTGCTCTCGAAGAAAGTGGTATTTCGGTGTGTCTTTGGACGAAAGTCGAAAAAAAAACTTATTTCGGTGGTCTGGATCTAAGTCGCTCTTCAAAATAATTGTTCTTGGGTTGAAGAGGAGTCCGGAATGTGCGTGAATCTTGGTCAGCTGAACTCACTGGAACTGCTGGAGCCCGAACTGATTTCTGCTCGTAGGGGCTTCGTTTTTATGGACGCCGACCAAAACCGGGGTGGGTCTGTCGGCGTCGGGGGTTCCTCGATAATTCTAAATACATATCCACCTCTTTTATTTCTGGTTAGTGATTTTCCACTCTTTTCCATTTTTGGGAACCTTTCCTCACTCCCACCTTCTCACCATACTTCAGAGGGCGTGAACTGCCCTCCCCACTTGACCAATGATGTTTTAGTCGGGCGTGGACGAATCCGCGGCTTTGTTTCAGGAAGAAAAAAAAATATCTTGCTTAACCCAAAAATAATATCTTTCCTCCTCCTTCGTGCGTCACGTGATCACCACTTGACCAATGATGTCTTAGTCGGGCGTGGACGAATCCGCGGCTTTGTTTCAGGAAGAAAAAAAAATATCTTGCTTAACTAAAAAAAATTATCTCTTCTCTTTCCCTTTTCTTCCTCTTAATCGCCGTTATCATTTTTCTAGCCGCAACGGGACAATATGACAACTCTTGTTCTACACATGGTTTTTGTCAGGTATTTTATCGCCAATTATCAGAATGGGTGGTCCTCTTAAAACGGCCTCAAAAAAGAAACATCTCCAAAGTTTCAGTCAGTCTTTCGCCTCGAAGAAAGAAGAAAAACACTTCTAGGTCCCCATTCATTTTCTTTCGGTAGATATTTCTGATAACATAATTTTATTATCGCAGGCATAAAGATGTTTTGCGGCCAGAAAATTGGTCAGTGTAGTTACTTCGTGTGTGTCGCGATCAATTTTTCCATATCTGTCCAAAGCCCTGTAGTTACACCTGTGTTTTGTCAATTATCAAAATTAACGTTTTCAATTGGACTTTTCTTTGGCGAACATTTCTTGATAACATATTTTTATTATCGCAGGCATAAAGATGTTCTGTGGCAAGAAAATCGGTCAGTGTAGTTACTTCGTGTGTGTCGCGATTAATTTTTCCATATCTACCCAAAGTCCCTGCTTTTCGTCACTTATCGAAATAACATTTCCACTTGAATTTTTCTTTGGCCAGTCGACCAGCAGTTTGTTTACGTACCCCCTAGATAACACAGCCGTTATCAAAACACATCTGATTCTTTCTTTCTTTCCCTTTCTTTTTACTCAGAATTTCCCTGTCATTGTAATGACACCCTTTCGCCATTTGTTACTTATCAATATATTCATTGTCTCTTAGCCGTGTGTGTGTCTGCTTATCACTCACGATTCGTCTCGCCTTTCTTTCTGCCTTCTTTTCTTTCTTTTCCTTTTCTGCCTCGTAAATGGTGCCACATCTAGTTGAAAATTCTTCCTCTTTCTCGCTTTTTTTCTTTTTCTCTCTCTCTTTTTGTCTCTCTCTCTTCTCTATCTCAAAACAAAACCTTTGAAAATTACAGCAAAACCGCATTTTTTTAACATTTCACCCCAAACAAGGCACGAAATCTACTAAACGCAATTAGTTACTGAGAGTGAAATAAACTGATAAAGACATTATTGAGGAGAGACGGAAAATAAAAAAAAAATAAGTTTCAAGAGTTAAAACATGTCCATTGAGGTTGTGTTTAAATATCATATATAACAGGAAAGCGGGAGGCTGGAAGAGAGCCCCACAAGCAGGAAGTGCAATTCAGTGCAAATATACACTGAAGGTAGGAAAAACATTCGGTAAAAAAAAAAAAAAAAAAAACTACATTATTAATAGTCCAAATAATTTATGGAACAAAGATAATATATAATGTAAGAAACTCAAATATTTGTAGAATATATGATGTCATTATGGCTCTTGGCTTTGCAACGTTGTGTTTCCGTAGAAAATCTTAAACACTGACATTTTGTCGAAACTAATTATAGCTTTCAATTGACATTGCTTTAGGCCTATAACTCTAGGCTCTCGTAGACCAAATGTTGGCGATATTTTTTTAATAAAACAAGGAATCTACCTCTTGTCAAGTCATCGATCCAATCAAAATTGGAAATGTCTTAAAGGCATAATGACAAAAACAAGACTGAATTCCAAAACTATGTTCTTTGAGTTGTGCATAATTGAAAATTGACTTTGGGAAATAAACGTCAGTTCCAGGGACAAGTAAACATCTTTGTCTGATTTATATCAGTCAAAATAGACTGTTCAATACAATATGTTCCCTTTTTCTGAAATGAATATTTTTAACAGCTACCTCGAAATTTGTTCTTAAGATTTTTTTCATGGTATATGCATTCTTAGCAACTGTTAGTAATTTTCAATTGGAAAAATCTTGCCTGATTATGACAGCTGCAATATGAATTACGGATAGGCACACCCCATATACATACATATATATATATATATATATATATATATATATATATATATATATATATATATATATATATACATGTGTGTG